TGGACTCGGATTTAAAAAAATCACGTTTCTATTCTTTTACGCGAAAAGTGTCGCATAGTAGATGCGTGACCAGACGTCCGCATAAATTCGATTAATCACTGCTGCCGATCAATTATTGAATTTTTTATCCATTGAAACATCGTTGCCGTTGGCTTTCGTACATATTTACCTTTCCACCGTATTATCGGACAATTCTATGTAGATCTCAGTTCCGTCGCGCGCTCTCGCCATTAGAATTTCAAGCGTAGATCCGACTCACGGAATTTTCGATAAAATCACTTCGCTGTCCTTCTTACCGGTTCTTAGACGAGAGATGGACCTGGCATACTTCTTAAACCCTATTCATTGTTCGATCAGTTCGTCTTATCCGTTTAAATTTTAGTGGCGATGAAAAAGACTCGGTAACTCGTTAATTAAAAAAAATAAAATTAAAATTTGTACTCGAGTATCTAAGCAGAAATTAAATTACTTTTGCAAACATATTTTAACTACAATTTTGTTTTCAATTTTCTAATTATCAAAGACTCGATTGAAAAGAGGAATTAATTCAAAAAGTTCTGATGTTGTAAAAAGAGGAATCTTTATGCTTGATTGTATCAACACGAATTTGCTCATGACAATCGTACTCCCTAGTAGAAGCATTCATTCTCGAGACAGTTGTTAGCTCGAAATATTCTCCGTGTTGTTCCGTTTATCTCCCGCCATTACCGGCTAAATATTAACGTCGTTGAATTTGCAGGCATAACAAATTCCGCATTTCGTACTTTCTTGTCCCGATCGGATGGATTCTGTCACCCGCAATGAAAAGGTAGCATAATGACTAGGAAGAGGGGAAGGAAATGCAGAATCTCTCCCCTTCTTTCTGCCTCTCGTATTCTATAGGAAAACGACGATCCTTCGCTTCTTCCACCATCTCCTCCTTTTCCTTCTTGTGCTCGAAAATGCAATTTCCAGCATTGCGACGACATCTAATTCAATCCGCGCCCATTTCTTCCCAGCTTTTGTGTCTGCCTTAAGTTTCAGTCTTAACGCAAATTTACGCTTTCGACGATTTATCATGAATCATCTAAATCGAAAAAGATGAGCCGTAATGCGTAATGGTTCAGCAAAAAGCTAGTACTTCCTGACGAAGGAAATGGGAGATTGTTTCTTCAAGCCGTTCGTTTCGAATAAGAGATTCGATTTCATCGTATCGTGATCTTGACATTAATTTTAATTTTATATATACGCATAAATCATGTCTACGTTAATTCATATATGAAACACGATAGCGATAATGAATATAACCTGAATATTTTGTATCGTAATTAGAATGTTAGATTATCTAATAATGATCAATACATCTGAATATTATATATTTTATCATAAATATTTTACATCATAATCAGAATGTTAAATTACTTAACATATCTATGTCGTATACCAGAATTGCACAATCATCAAAAATATGTCAATTTCAATTTCATAGTCATTTATATAATCGTTTATGGGTCAGAAAATGTCTCATTCCGAAAGTCGTAAATTAAATCATAAGAATGCATCAAAATTACGGGCAAGATAATTTGGACCAATTCAATTTCGATGGAATTTTACAAGTAAAAATGCCGTTTGGTTGATACATTCACTTTGAATAATTTTGGTCCAACATGATTCATTCGTGTTCAAGCGTGCAAACCTACCTTTAGTCAGGCAGGAAAAAAGGCTTGCGAGGAGAGAAGAGAAAAAAGAAAGAATCGTGCCAAGCCTCGTCCTTTTTGCCGAGGGGGAAATCGGCATAGCATTTCATGCTATGCCGATTTCCCCCTCGTCGGCGATTTCATTCAACTCGGTCGCGGTGCATCGCAC